AAGCTGTACGTTTTACGTCCAATGGATGATGATCTGATTAGTCGACTAATCGCAAAAATAATCGTGTTTGGCAGCTCTACTGGTCTCTGAGTTTTACAGCTGGGGTGGACAAAGCTAAGCATCAGACTTTCAAATGAATTAAAAGTCTGTCTGGGTCTTTGGTTGATTAATAGGCTGGTGTGGAAGATTGCTGAGAATCCAGCGAGAGGGGGATTTTTAAAATGTATATATTAGGAATTTTCTTAAGCTGGGCATACTCTGTGAGATATATATGTGATATATATATTTATATTTATATATATATTTTTTCCAGTCACGTTATTCAGCTTCTGCTCGAACTGTACGATTGACTCGCAAGGGTTAGAAGTTCGTAGGTCACGGTGCTCGAATGCGACATGAGTGCTCACACTGTGCGTCCATAACATGAAGGTTATAGCGCACAATCTGTCGCTCGCTCTCCCTCTCTGTCTTTCACTCACACAGACACCACCAGCTTTGCTACATTGCTAATGAAAAACATGATCAGGCAGCTGTGATTGAGCAGCAATGTCCATCCAACTATTTTCACGGTTGTTGTGGTCGTGATAATTTTGTGAGGCCACATCGAAAAGGCTCGGATGAGCCAAAGTTCTACAAGTTGTGCCTCCATCGCTTGTGTCCAGATCACACGCTGCACTGTGCGATAGATCTGGGGCTTCCTCCTGGTAGGACGGGCTTGGTTTAGCCATTTAGCCATCTCCTTTCTGTTTGGAGGAGCAGCGGCTCCACTCTGAACCCGGGTTAGTGATAGAGGGCCTCCCTCTGACCACAGCTGTGATTATTTCACTCTTACAAAACGTCGTTTGAACGGACTTCCTGCTGATAGTTTTTCAGACTAGGTATGTGCGGCGCTCTGACTGTTTTACTGTGAAAAGTGTGTAATAAACTTTTTCTGTGCAGTAGAAGAAGAAAAGATGAGTGGCGGCATGAACAGCATCGAGGCAGTGAAGAAAAAGATCAAAGTCCTGCAGGAGCAGGCCGAGGAGGCCGAGGAGCGGGCGGAGCGACTGCAGAGGGAGGTGGAGAAGGAGAAGAGGAGCCGGGAGGAGGTACGGCACACGCACCCGAACAATGTCCTTAAGTCAGGCGATGACATCACGTATTTCACAGCTGTTTCCTGTCAGGTGGCATGATGCTGCGCTCCCACAGTGCTGTACTGCTGTGCATTTGTCATTGTGGGTTTAACCCTTTAAAACCGGTCGGAGTGGGCACGCTCCGTTTTGTGCAACTATTTTTAAATCTCTGTAGAACTGGAACCACGTGAGCTAGCGCAAGCATTTTTTTGCATATGAAACCGGAGGAGTTGTACTTACATCTTATGACATCAGCTTGTCCTCGGTCACAGTTTCCTTCCACATATAGCTTTGCAAAAACGGCATAAAAAGCACTTGCAGCAACAAAAACATAATATTCCAGAAACACGCTTTGCTGATCCGATCAGCTGTTCATAACACTTCCTACGTTGGAATAGACGTCAGCGCGAACAATCGCATGTCCGCCATTACCTGGCCAAGATGGGAAGTGACGTCATTATCGCAGAAAATGACGTTTTTTTTTAGCTTCAGGGCCTTATAAGCCTGTACTGGTGTTTTTAAAAGTCATATTTAGCTTTATGCTTTTCTGAATAGTTTCTGCTTAGAACTCAAACTGCACTGCTGGAAAAAGTTTATTTTGATGCACATGCTGAATGTTTTGCAAATTTGCATTATAATATTTTTGTTTTTCCCGCAGTATATAAAAAATTGGCGTATCTCATAAATTTCTCTAACTAGAAATATATGTAAAAAATCAAAAACAATTTTCAATTTTCTTGTTCATTGCACTTTTTTGCAATTTATGTAGTTACTATGGACTTAATGCATACATGTTATTACAATTTGGGCTACAACTGTTGTATTGATGTATAGCAACTTGAAATGCTCCCAAAAATTATAAAGATAAGCTCTGGCAGACTTGGTTCTGTGGTAGGTCTTAAAGGGTTGTGTGGCACTGCATTTACCTGCCGTCAGACAGGAAGTGATGCCATTACTCACAATCAGACCTCAATCACAAAACAGGAAGTGTGCCTGATGCGGCTGGCTCTGATTGGTGTACAGCCTGAAGTTTAGAGCGAACTCGGTGTGTTTGAAGCAGGGCGAGATCAGGCGAGCTGTGTAGTTCCAGCAGCGCTGCAGCAGAGGGCGCTCACCTTTTCTCAGTTTGTCGGCTCGCTGACACAGTCGCCTGAGTTTTTGTGAATATTTGGTCGAGCCACTTGATTGGCTCAGCATGGTGCTGTTTTCACTCTGATTGGCTGTTTAAGCTGTCCGTGACAACATGCTGATCGTGTTTGATTATGCTGGAGGAGAATGCGTTAACCCGGCGGCCAGCGTGAACAGGAAGTGATGAAGCCCGATGAACACGTTCCTGCTTTAAACACAGATATATTTCACCTCTGTAATATTCTGGATGTTTATAACTGAGCTCTTATGTTTGTAAACATTTACAAATATCCTGTTTTTGTTTTGTTTTTTGTGATTAATATTTTATTGTACTTTCAGTACTGTCAGTCTGCCCCAGGGCAGCTGTGGCTACAACTGTAGCTGCCTCCACCAGTGTGTGAATGTGTGTGTGAATGGGTGGATGACTGGGTGTGTAAAGCGCTTTGGGGTCCCTAGGGGGGACTAGTAAAAGCGCTATACAAATACAGGCCATTTACCATTTAGAACACCACGGTCCACTGCAGAGACAGATTACATCACATGAAAAAGCATCAGCATAGCAGCAGAACAGTAGAGAACACAAAACCAAAAGGAGGGGGGACAAACAAAGCAAGAGAGAAACAAACAAAAACAGCCAGCCTTCGACTACGTGGGTCTTACTGCACGCCACACCCTGACATCCCTGAGAGTGCTTCGTCAGACTTCCAATGTCTGTCCCGCTCTAAGTTCTAGTCTGTTCGTTTTACTCTGGACAGAGATCGATCCACTTCAGATGGAAACTCTCCACTTTGTTCAGGAGCCTGTATGAGAGTTGTTCTAGTGCAGCGAGTCTCCCTAGTTGAATATGCCATACAGAGACAGGTGGGGTGGAAGGGGCCTTCCACTGGGAGATAATGAGTTTACGCCCCAGCATCAATGCAGTCTGCACCCACTCAGCAGCCTTAGGCGCAGCATATTTAAGGAGTGATGGGTCCCCCAAAACAAATAGTCTTGGTGAAAAAGGAATATCCCGTCGTATGGTTGATTTGATAAAGTCATGTATCTCAGTCCAAAAGATTTGGGTTTTAGGACAGCTCCAAATCATATGGGTCAATGTGCCCACCCCACTCTGACATCTCCAGCATTCAGGGGATTGCATGAGGTTCTATACAGTCTGTGTGGCGACCAGTAAATTTGGTGTAGTAATTTGAATTGGGTTAGGGTTAGGGTTTTGTACATACCTTTTTGGGGGGCAAAGAAAAACCAAGAAGGTATTGGAACCGGAGAATGAATGTTTTGCGGTGCTGCACATGCTTGCGTTTGATGCGGTACTTGGATTGTTTTGCCACAAGTTCCCGGCATGCAATGCGCGAAAGTCACGTGGTCTGTCAATCTCTACTCAAGCTGCCATCTTGACCGCCTACGTCACCGGACTCCACAAATATCCAGTTATTCATCTTACTGTTGTTGTGCTGCAGCGACATCGTTTCCTCCGATTATCAAAGTGTTGTGAAAATGCCCATGATTGATCGGAGGTGCGTTCACGCACATCTGGAGGTGGCTCACATGTGGTTCCTCCCTCACAGTGTGCACAGCCTCATTGCTACCTGTTACAGTAAATATCCAGTACCCTTCCTGTCAGCGGAGTGTGTACTCTGAGTACTGCAGTAGTGTGTGTGTGTGTGTGTGTGTGTCAGGGCGTGACGCGCTGATAAACGGCAGCATGAAGCTGCTGATAACACACACTTGGCTGCGTGACCTGATGCGTACAGGAAGCCTGACCCGTTTCACTTCCTGTTACCTCCAGATTAAAGGTGCTGGATTAAAAAGGGCGCAGTCTGCTTGTGCGTTCTGCTGCTGAACTCAGCATAGTTTCATATTTTAAGCGTAAATAGACAAACTACAGCTAAGCTTTGTTTTTGTTTTTTAGGCACGTTTGTGAATCATGAAATCAGAAACATTTATAAAACAGATGATTCTGATGTCATTTCCTGTTTGTGCTGCTGAACCAGAGCAAGCTTGTTATTACTACAACAATGTTTCATAACTAGTAAAAAACACATTTTTAGCTTTAAATATTTCATGGGCAGCTGTCACTATGTGTGAAAAGGAATTTTATTGTGAAAGGAAGGAACAGGATGTTTGCGCCCCTGGGGGTTAGAGGTCGATGTGTCAGTTGACCTGTGTCTCCCCGCAGGCGGAGTCCGAGGTCACGTCTCTGGGTCGGCGTCTGCAGCTCAGCGAGGAGAACCTGGACCGCACTCAGGAGAGACTCGCCGCCGCGCTGCACAAGCTGGACGAGGTTGAGAAGGTAGCGGACGAGAGCGAGAGGTCAGAGGGCGCTTGTACTCCACAAATACTGCAAAGTACTACAGCTTGTAATAATACACAGTAATACTGTGGCAGTACTATGACTGTAGAGAAGCACTGCAGGATTTGTTTGTAGCTGTTTTACACAGCAGCAGCGCTGAGAAGGTCAAAGGTTAAATGTGATCACATAACTTTGTCCACAATCAGGGGGATGAAGGTGATTGAGAACAGAGCTCTGAAGGACGAGGAGAAGATGGAGCTGCTGGAGGTGCAGCTGAGGGAGGCCAAAACCATCGCTGAGGAGGCAGACCGCAAGTACGAGGAGGTACTGCAGTACACGCTGCTACTGGCATCACCACAGAGTAGTTAGAGCAGGGCGATATGACCAAAAATATTTATCACCATATACATCTGAAAATCTGAGATAACGATATAACTGACGATATAATTGACACGAGACAAAATACTTTACAACTCCACAACTTTATTAGTGCAAAAAACCATCAATGTATTTTCACTTAAACAAGCAGCTGTTTTTTTTTTAATCTGCATTAAAGTTATATAAAAAT